TAATAATAATAGCCACAACTGCAAATTATATCAAATGATGTATATATTATGAAACAATTCAAAATACATTAAAAATAAAATATTTTTATCTGAAGTTAGTTTTGTTGTTATAGTCAGTAGAAGACTTATATTCACGTACTGTCAGCCAATCTTGAACTTTCCGTATATAGGATAACGCAACAGCTAAAAATCTTGTAAAGCGGTCACCCCAAAATGTCTTGGTGGTCCACCGTCGATCGCTCTGACGTAATGCCCACCCCGCTGTAGAGAAATCTTATATATTTTACAAAGTATTATAATAATTATAGAAGTATTTTCATTACAGGAGAATATTTTGAAAATATGCCATTCTTCCTTTTGCCAAAAATTGTTTTCTAGTAATTTTTATTGTAGTGTAATAATCTTAAGACCCTCTCACTTTTTATGTAAAAAAATAAAATGCTTTATGCCAATTTTCAATAAAATAAAAGGCACTAAAATTCCATTACCAAGTGTAATTTTAAGTTTATACACGAATTTCACCTCAAGATCTAGAAGGAATTCACCAAGCAATCTATTTCTGCAAATTTCTACAAAATTTTATGGAATTTTAGATTAATTTAGCTCGTTATTTTGATTTCATGTGCGATTTTAAAAAGATACAGAACACTCATCTCTAATTTTCTTAGGTAAGCAAAGTTTACATTGGTTGTAAGTTCAATGCATTAAAAGTCTAATGTGGGAATCCTGTGCGTCACTGAAGACTCGTGGTGTAGAGGGTGATGCACGTTTATTTTGTCTAGGGTCAAAAGTTCTCAATCCTGATGTGGAAGTTTGGAGAATGTGGGGTCCAGTGAAGTAAGTTTTGTCATTTGTCCGATGGTCAAAATACGCGGTCCGCCGAAAAGGCCCCTCGTGCAGGTTCACAGAGAACGACATAAATAAAAATCAAACTAAATTAAAATGTTTTTTTCAATATTAATAGAATATGAATAATTTATTTATATAACCGTAAAATAATAATTCCCTTTTAAGGAAACTATTTAAATTTATTTAAAAATAGCTATTTTTTAATAAGACCGCTGAATATAAATTTTTTAATAACTTTCTGCATTGTAAAAGCACGAACGTTGTTTCTCGAAATACCATTAATTGAAATAAACTCATGGTTTGTGAAAAAAAAATTTTAATAAAATGAAGTGTGAAATGTGTTTAAATTTTTGGAATTTAAATAAATAAAAGTTTGTTTCTGCTAAAACTTCTTAGATTAGTTTGTCATTATCCATTATGTCAATTATCCTTAAAACAATTAGTGAAAATCTAATTTAAATGCCTTTTCAATTATTTTGAATTATTGGGTTATGAGGATACAGTTTTTAACCAAATGATTTATATTCAATTCTTTTTCTTCCACTGATTTGTTAATCTATACAATCAATCAATCTCCTTTCTATAAGTTTCTCTCATCATATATATCGGGTTTTTTTAATAGGACTAAATCGACATCTGAACCGAATACTTCGTACTTTTTTATGTTTCTTTTACTTATTGATTTTCACAGTGATCGATTGCATGCAATCCATTAACGTTATTTAATGTAATATTTTTTGTTAGAAATCTGTAAAACCATCTATCGCGAATATTTTTCTTTTGATTGGCAAGCTATTTTTGAGATATTATCCGAGATAATTACCATATCAAACTATAAATATCAAAACAAAAGTATAAAATGCTTAACTATAGAAAGAACTATGACTAAATACTAAAACGTACTTAACATTTACCATGTATGGATCGACGGACACGCTTCTAAAATTCATCTTCCGTTACCTTCCATAGATTTTAATTTGATAACTAAAGCAACAAGTATTCTGCAAAAATATCGATTTTGTTAATGTAATTCTTCGGGAAAGCCAAATATTTATTTTAAATTGCCAAGAAAAAACTTATACTTTACCTGCCTGTGTCGAATAGACCCATGTTATTAAAATACAAAGAGATGTATGGAGACCAATTTAGTATTTTTATGAGACCTTTTAAACCTTTATCTATAGCATTATGATTTACTGCAGTTTTTCTCGCGATTTTTTTTGAACCACTACATTGAAAATTAAGGGATATACATAAACAAAATACTCAACTTGGGGAAATTTAATCCGTTAGATCTAATTAATTAATTAAAGATAATCAGCTGCAAAATTAATTACATACACTGTTCACTTAAAATAAATGGTCGAATCGTTTTCTAAGGTCTTCATTGACATTCCAAAATTCACATTATTTTCAGATTTACAACCCATTGAAATAATTATCGGCTTTTTTTTTCTTAAAATTTTTCTCCTCTGTTGTCGTAAAACATGGATAAACCCACTTCTAAGTTATATATTTCAAATATAACTTAGATATTATTATAATAGAAGCATTTTTCGCAAAGGAGAATATTTTGAAAATGGGTCATTCTATGTTCATTTTTTGTCAAAATATTGTACTTAAATAATTTTTTATCGTAATACTATTCTTAAAACAACTTTATATACATTTTCTTATCTAAGTGACACTAAATATTATAAATATTATCCATTTATAAGCTTTTGCAAAATTACGGTTCAGAACGTAGTCGGATACCTTAATTAAAAGCAACCTAAAACAGAAAAATAAGAAAATGTTTTACTGACAATCATTGGTAGTTAACTTTCAAAGAGCACCAAACTTTTTTCCACACAAAAATACAATTTATAATTTCTTTTTCCCTTAATTAATGAATATTCAATATCAGAATATTGATTAAATACCTTTGTCCCTTCTCCTACACTGCATTTTTAGTTGTAATAGAAATATTTATTTTTACTTTTGGTATCCTTCTTTCCATCTCATGGACGTATCTGTTGTACGCCTTGCCTCTCTCTAATTCAAGATAATACTTAATAATGTTTCTTTTCTTAACATCCCTATGTCGTATTTCATTTTGAATGCTAAAAAACATTTAAATAATAAAACTGTGCATAAGGCTCCCTTCACACCAAACGATTCCGAGTCTGTAGCGATCTTTCCAATTCACAGCGATTCTGAATGAACAGAGATTTGCCTTCACACCGCCACGGGTCAATCATTCTTCCATCAGTTGCTGTCAAACATGGATGCTGTTTTTAATGTTTTAAGACGATTCGCATTTCAAGCTATTAATTTCACAACTGTATCCTTATTCATTTATTTTCAGATTGAAATACATAAAACAAAAAATATACGATCGGTTTTATTTATTTATTTTATGTTTTGCCTGTTAGTATCAAGTGTAAATATAGTCTGAAAAGTAGTAACAAATAATAAATATGTATTGTAACTATATTATAATGCAAACTTTCACAACTAATATATCCAATGTTTTTAAAAGGCATTTCAAATGTTGTTATATACTACAGCTTTTGTAGCATATAACAACTGTTTTTTTGATTACGTATCTAAAAATGGTTTGCTAATATATTAATGAATTAAAAATTTTACATGCCATTTACATTTTGTTTGTTTCTTACAACAAAATTCGAGATCTATGTTGTAATAAAATAGAATCTCTTTTTAAAAAATTAAAATTATCGACAATATCGGTGTTTTATTTTATTTTAGCATTCTTATAAATGTTTAGTTTTTTTCTCTCCCAAAATTAAATAAATTTTATCAAATTGATCTCTGAAGCTATTTCAAGCATCCTTTAGAATATTCCCTCTCCTTCCCCCCAAAATACACATATTTTGCTTTAAAGTATTAAAAAGTGAAGAATAAGGTTTTCAATTTTCTAAAATTGAATAAAATAATACATGCAAAATTAATTTTATTATTTGTGCAAGATTAGCAGGGATAAAATACAGTCTACACACTCGGCGACAAAAACTAGAGTTAGTTTACATAATGAAAGAGAATACTATGTATACCAAAAATATAAATGCCATCTATTGCCATAAAAACAAACTCATATGCTAACCCTAACAGAGAAATTCATTATCTTCAAACATCTTTAATAGAAACTTGATGTGAAAAAATCACTAATAACATAAAAAAACAATAAAAATAAACGCTCTATTTGTATGAATTCGCTTTTTCTTTAAGGTATCCGACTACGTTCGGAACCATGATTTTAGAAAAGTGCATAAATGTATAATTTTCATGATATTTAGTGTCACTTAGATTAGAATACATATATAAAATTGTTTTATGGATACTATGACAAAAATTATTTAAATACAATATTTAGGGCAAAATAAACTTAGGAATAACCCTTTTTTCCCAAATGTCTTCCTTTTGTAAAAAAATGCTTCTATTCTATTAATATGTCTTGAATGCATATAGCTCAGACTCTACAGAGGCTCAACTATGATGGAAAAAATTCACATTATTTTCAGAGTTAAACCATTTGAAATAATTATCAGCGTATTTTCTTAAAATTTCACCCTTCTGTTTTCGTAAAACATGGATAAAACCGGGACTTCCGTTATGTTTCAAAATTTAGTTGAGCTCTTGTACAGAGTGTTCGAGCTATATACAGGCAAAATATTAATACCAGAGAAGCATTTTTTACAAAAGGAGAACATTTGGAAAAAAGGGTATTCTAAGTTAATTTTTGCCAAAAATATATTGTATTTAAATAAATTTTTTTTGCCATAGTATTCTTGAAACAATTTTTACGATGCGTGTGCACACCGTCACGGATGTGACGTAAACCCGTCACGGATGCGAAAACGCTTTGTCTAGAAATATACAGAGCGGAACAGATCATTTCCACGCCTTCGAAATTTTCAGAAAAAATATTTCTCTTCACTTCCCTGAAGGAGGAGACACCCGGGTTTGAACTGAAAACCTCTCGCTGTCGAATGTCTTACCACTGAGCTATACCCCCGCGGCAGCGAATCTTTGCTTTGCATTCCGTAGGAACGGATAAAAAAAAAGGCTTTGTCTAGAAATATACGGAACGGGACAGACCAATTCCCGCGCCTTCGAAATTCTCGAAAAAACATTTATCTTCACTTCTTTGAAGAAGGGGACACCCGGGTTTGAAACGGAGATGTCTCGATCTGCAGTCGAATGCTCTACCACACAGAGCTATGTTCTCGCGTCAGCGAACCTTGTTTGCGTAGGAACGGATACGAAAATGTTTATTCAGGAAATATACAGAACGGGACAGATCAATGGCGCTTTCGAAATCCTCAAAAACCTTTCTCTTCCCGCAGAAGAGGACACTCAAGTTTGAACCGGGAACCTCTCGATCTACAGTCGAATGCTCTACCACTGAGCTGAACCCTCGCGTTAGCTAACCTTTGTTTTGCGTTCCGTAGCAATGGATACGAAAATGCTTTGATTACAAATATGCAGAACGGGACAGATCATTCCCGCCTTCGAATTTCTCAAAAAAGTACTTCTTCTGATTTCCCTGAAAAAGGGGGCACCCGGGTTTGAACCGGGGACTCTTGATCAGCAATCGAATGCTCTACCACTGAGCTATACCACCCGTGTCTGCGAACCTTTGCTTTGCTGACGCCACTACTAGTAGGGAAAGATCGTCCTTCGCCTACGGAGCTTTTCTGATGCATTTTTTTAATACTTTTGTTATTAAACCAAACATACTTACAGGAAATTAAAAAAAAAATTAATAAATTAATCTTTATATTGTGTTTCATGTACGTAAAACCTAAGCCAATTTATATAACAATTGAAAGTATATGATTATAGATGATTTACTACGAACGCATTTGCGATGGAACATAAACACATTTTATTACATTGTAGCAAATTAAAAAGCCTTTTTTTATTGTATATTTATTTTAAAATTATACTTTTTTGGGCTTTAGGAAAAAGGATGAGGGTAATTCTTTCGATGCGCTGCACACCGTCACGGATGCGAGCGCATACTTTCACGACACCGATGCGCGCTGCACACGTTTTCTAATATTTTAACATGCCACTTTTTTGGTGCTATGGGACTGATTTTGGGGGGATATTATTGTTATAAACCATAGCATTCCCCCTCTTTTTGGCCGATATCTCGGCACTTGAGCCTCACAGTCCATTCGAACCTGGCTCATTCGATCCCTCTCTATATGCTCTTCCAGTTATTATAATTTTATGCTCATAGGGCTATTTCTGCCATAGTTTTTAATTATCTTAAACTTTTTAAATTTGCTTACATTCACAATATCTTGGCTCTTGTTCTGGTCTCGGACTTTAGATTTGGGAAACCCAAGTGTTCTACTCGCCGAGACCCATCCAGTCATCTGCTTCATTCCCATTGTGTAGGCATGGGGAGGGCTTAAGCACTATAATATCATGCTCTCATATTAATCCTATGAGGACTGGAAAAAATTTCACCCCTCTAAGGAATTGAGCTTGGAAATTGATTTTGGAGGTCCACCATATTTTCGTATTAGCGTGAGCTTTACTTAGAATTGGCCCCCTCCCCCCTACAGGGCTTCTCCAGAAATAACTCGAATTCTATGCTACCTTAGTTGACCGCACCGGCTGGATTCGATTGTTCTTCCTATGAGCATCCTAAATATTTTTTCAGGACCATAGCCTCATTTCCTTACCCATATTTAACATTTTAAAATTATTTTAGTTATAATTTTTTTTTAAATCCTGCATAGCTCTCCGAGGATTTTTGAGATTCGTTAATTTTATTCGGACCATAGGTTCTCCTCGTTGAGCTGTTTCATTTGTTATAATTCGTATGTAGATAATGGGCTTGGGGGGGGATTATCACTAAAATTAGAATCCCCATTTTATTCCTAAGAGGTTCAATCTTTTGATGACGTAACGATATTACAGAGATATAAGGATGAAACTTTGGGATCACCTACTACTCTGTCTATCGTTGGGATGTATGTGACCATTTACGTCCCAGTTACCTTCCCCCCGGGGGAGTTACTTTCTTTTTCCTTTCACGAGCTAGCGCCGACCCATTTGCAACTACAGACTCCGGTACGGTTCTAATGGATTACTCTTGTGTTTGCTCACAATCAGTCCGAGGTTCGAGTTGCTGGGTGCTCTGCTTCTATTTTATTTAATTGTTTAAAATGTTTTAATTATTTTAAAATGACCATAACTCGGGGGCTCTTCAGGCGGATGTCTTAATTTTCTCAGGAATGATTTTTCCCGCTGAGACATTCAATATGAGGTCTCAGGTGTCACATTCGGTTCACTTCATCTCCAGATACAGTCTGATACCCCCACCCCTTGTTGTTGTTTCTATTGTCCCTGTGCAAAGGTGTTTAAATTTGTTTAAATCGCGTTTATCTCAGGTTTGGCTGGTCCGATTGACTGAAGATTAGTATCATTCATCTCTGCTCGTGACTGCCTTTCGTCCTTGGCTAATCTTGACCTGCTAAAGATTTTTAGAAAGATTTTAATCTTGTTAGACCAAAGAAGTTTAACTTCTTACGTGCGTACATAAGTATACACACACACTTTTTTAAATTATTTCCGTCATAATGTAAATTAGATTGACGGTTCACAGTTTTACTATTTTAGACGCGTATGACGGAAGTGTTGTCTTATCCTTTAAAAATCGAAATTCATTTGTGTTCACGTGTGGATCGAACTTTAAGAAGAATGCATGACTTTTTCCCTCTAAGACTTACAACAAATTCTACGAAGAGTAATAGAATAGTCTGCTTTGGAAAAGTGATTGTATTTTTTGGCTTATTGCATTGTCTGTTAATTCATCCGGTATATCACTGAGATCTTTAAAAGCTTTCTGATCTGCTTTTCATTAAGGTATCCGCTACCGGAACCGTGATTTTGCAAAAGCGTATAAATGAATGATATTTATGATATTTAGTGTCACTTAGATTAGAGAGAAAACATATGTAAAATTATTTTAAGAATAGTATTACAAATAAAAATTATTTAAGTACAATATTTTGACAAAAAATGAAGATAGAATAACCATTTTCAAAATGTTCTCCTTTGTGAAAAATGCTTCTATTATAATAATATTTTGTCTGTATATAGCTCAGACCTCTGTACAGAAGCTCAACTAGAATTTTTAAATATGTAACTTAGAAGTGGGTTTAACCATGTTTTACGACAACAGAGGGGAGAAATTAAAGAAAAAAACGCCGATAATTATTTCAATTTGCTGTAACTCTGAAAATAATGTGAATTTTTCAAAAATCATAGTTGAGCCTCTGTACAGAGGTCTGAGATATTTACAGGTAAAATATTATTATAATATAAGCATTTCTTATAAAAGGATAAAAATAAATTTTTTTGTCAAAATGTCCTTAAAACAATTTTATACATGTATTCTAAGTGACACTAAATATCATGAAAATTATCCATCTATGCACTTTTTTAAAATAACGATTCCGAACGTAGTCGGATACCTTAAAGAGTGTTTCGAGTAATATAGAGTGAGCCTCTCTCTTAAATCTGTTAAGTTTGCTACCTACTGTTTCACCATTCAGGGGATCGGAGAGCAGTTTTATTACCATTAGCAATTAAGATATATAGTGAGTCATAACCCTTGTACGTATTTGGTTTACATGCTTTGTGAAACAGTTCCATCCCTGAGACGGTTTCCCTTTTTAAAAGTTTAAAAAATTTTTCTCCAAA